CCACCATTCTCATTCTCATTTCTTCTTGCACCATTGTTTTGATCTGCTTCTCTCACTTTAGTGTTTGGAGTTAACACACCCTGCATATACCTAGAGGCAACACCTGCCTTCTCCTCTTTAATTACAAGTTTCTTCTTTACACTTTCCTCTTTTGCTTCAGCCGACTCACTCGATTTTGAATTGGTAACAACTTCCTGATCAACTTGAACAGGGCTATCTGATGCCTCTAACATTTGCATTAAATCCTTAGGATTGCCCATAAAAGGATGTCGCCCTGGAATAGGCCTAACACCGACTAATATAGGTACCGGAGTTCCAGCCTCCATCTTATCAACGTAGAAGAATTGCCCAAGTTGTAACTTGTTATTTAAGATAAGCTCATTGTCTTCCTTCGAAAGTGATGCATAGGTCGAATGAGAAGAATCGGATACTTTTATGAAAAATCCATGATCTGGCCACAACTCTGATCCACTTATGGCTGGCACTATGCTGATTACCTGTAATAGGATGGACCTATACTCGCCGCGAACTTTTACATTGGAATTTATACTCTGAATAAGTTTAACTAAAACTCCAGGCGTAAGAGATGCCATTTTTCCCTGTTTCAACAGATGAGAGCTATGATTCTAACTACTGTCGGCCTGCATAAATGAAACCCGAGAGCTCAGATCGATTCCGTATATATATGTATATAGCAAAATAAGATTGAAAATTTTGAGCAAGGATGAGGCAGAGCATACCTGAGAAAGGAACAAGAAAACAGCAAAAACACAGTATTTTAGACTCGGGGGAATCAAAAGCTTGAAAGACAAATGATGGTTTAGCAAAATTGTGGGCAACCATAAAGTGTGTATAGCCTTGCCTTTACATGGGAGGCAAGTAAAAATCCAACATCCCCTTGCCTTTTAAGCCAAGTTACAATGAGAGAAAATTTCAGGGCCCACATTGTCCATTAATTCAAAAAAGGAAATAATGGCTTGGAAATATTCCTACCCTTTTGAATGGGTAGTGTGGTCATTATATCAGGACTTGTTTACAGGTTGCATTTCTATTTCCAGGAAGAGGAAATGGAGCCATTTTGATAGCTGGGGAAACCATAACATCCCAATCATCAAGACCAAGCAGGTAAAATGTGTTGTCTTCTTCTTCAACCTAGTCCAAGTCGGTAAAGTTTGCATGCCGAGGACTGTCAAATGATTCAAGTTTCGTCGTTTAATTCAAAGTTGATAAAATTCTCGAGGTCCACGAATTCGAGAAAACAGGTCATGACTAGATTCGAGAAAATGATCTTAGCCCTGTAAAATCAGTTATATTAATATAGGTGGAAATTACACAACCACAGGTACTTAAAAGAGCACATTTCATAGTCCAGGGCCGAAGTTTATTTGTGCAGTTATCAGGTTTGAAGTATTTAACTACCCACCCCAATGCAAAACCTAATCCCCATCCC